TGGCATTCATGAGGAGGCACATACATGTCCTTCTCCCTATCCTTCCAGTTAGGATTTCGGTCCCTCCATTCTCTGTCGCGATCCTTCCAACCATCATCCCTAGCCCAACCTTGGTTACCACCCTGCCTTGGGTAGTTTGGACGATAACTACCAACTTGGTTGGCTAGGAAGTTCACCTCCTCATTGTACAAGGTTTCAAACTTTGCTTCTTTAGGATTTGCACACCCGATCCCCACGGCATTGACACTACGGGCACCAACCCTCATGACTTTTTTAGATAAAATGTCTAGTTGTGTCATGATCTTGGCCAAGTTTTGGTCTCTCTCATGATCATTTTCCATTTGCTCCTTAGATAGCTTGAATGTGAGAGGGGAGACTTGGTCTACACGAGTGTACCATGCTCGATTTATGGTCGTCATGCCATTTAAAAGTTGTGCTGCTACAGCATATGGTTGTTGCATCAAGCCTCCAGATGAAAGTTGGTCAGCGATACCTTTGTTTACCGAGTCCAAGCTTCGGTAAAAGTACTGCAGCAAAACATTGTCGAGCACACCATGAGTTGGGCATTGGAGCACCAACTTTTTGAATCGCAGCCAAGTCTCATGAATTGGCTCACCCTCCAAATGCTTAAAGCTTTGGATACTGTCCCGAAGAGTCATGATTTTCGAGGGAGGGAAAAATCACACATTAAATGTGATGACCAACTCCTCCCAAAAAGTGATGGATTCGCGTGGCAACTCCGCCAGCCATTTGCACACTTCTCCCATCAATGAGAAAAGGGAATAACCTTAACCGGACCAACTCCTGAGAAATGTTTTTGAAAGAGAATGGTCCGCACACATCTACGATATTTCAAAGATGCTCGTGAGGATCTTCATGAGCCAATCCGCTGAAAAGTCCCTTTAGTTGCAACATAGTGCTCGTTATATGGAACACCATATTTCCTTCGGCTGGAGGTAAACAGATGGCTCCAATACCTCCCATGAGATGGGGGTCGTTAATGTTGGGCTCTTGGACATCGTTGAAATTTCTGATGTCATCTTGGTGGCCAACCTGGCTACCGTTCCTGCCATTAACACTCATGCTTTATGTTTTCAACACAAACAATAGAAACAAAACTGAAAATTAAGTAAGTGGAACTACAACTAAGAAGAACAAAAATTTTATTTAGCTAAAACTTCTCAAATAACACCACTCCCCAACAGTGGCACCATTTTGATGTTTGCGTAATCAAGATACAACTTCCAGTGCAAGTGTCTATGATCGTACAATAATAAAGTAACCCAACCCCAACCCTTGGTTGGGGTCGAGTCCCAAGGGAGTGGTTTTGAGAATTAATAGAAAAATAAAATTAAGTTCTAATTAGTCATAGCTAAAAACATTATCGAATAGGAACATGTTAAATCTAAGGGGTGACGCAAGAGTCAATTATCAATGGGGGTTTGTCACAGGTAAACAAAAATTAGCTTAAATATAAGGAGTACTAATTAAGGAGATAGGACTCTTGGGATGTGATAGGAATACGGGATAAACTAAACTATTGGGTACATGCTGTTGATAATTGATCTGTTGAATATTTGCAACTAGGCTAAACTATAGTGGGGTTAAATTCTCTCTCGAGCTACTTACCCCGAATCAACTCGGTTTCTCTCAAACAACGAGTTGCTGCATGAAGAACAACCTCTGTCTTAGCCCACTCACTCTCTCGAGCTGAGTGTGTGGGAGAAGGACTAGGGTTCACTCTCTTGAGTTGAACCTCATGCCAAACAAATCCCACCGACTATCAATTTAGTAGTCTTAGTTTTACCACATCTGTCTCTAGCAAGACAAAAACACAAAGGTGAAATCGTATTTGCAACTACAATTTCATTAAGTTCCACCATAACTACTAAACGAAATTACATCTAAACAACAAATATATCATCAACAAGCAAGACCCAACAGATAATGTAACCCATATTCACAAAATCACACCCCAAGAATCGGAATTTTAGCTAGACATGTAAAAGAGATAGAAATTTATACCAATATGAGTTTGCATTCAAATAGATATGAAGATTTAAGTCTCAAAATGAGTAAAGAGTGAAGAATCTGTAAGTCAAAATCTTGGAGTTGAAACCCTTTGCATCTTCAAGTTCTTCAAAACCCTCTCCAAACTTGAAAATATTCTTAGTCTGAATATAAAACTTGAGACTAGAATACTTGATACTAAAGTAAAAACTTCAACTGGTATTTATAGTTTTCAGAAAGTGTGCTGTGAAGGATCCATTCGGCACAGTTAGTAGGGATCGCCGACCCATTCGGCGATCCACCCTTTGGTCTGCTTCATCATCTTTCAGCAATTGCCTTCAACATCTTTGCGTCCTGGATCATTGGGCGATAGAGTACTGCTTTGCGGAACTACTCGACGACACGTCGACTGCTCCATTTCATCACCAACTTGATCTTTCCCTTCATGGCTCAGCACACATGAACAAAAGGCGAGATTGTAGGCCTTTCGATGATTCACCTAATGGATTAGGCGATCGTCAGGCCGTCTTTTTTTCCTTCATTCAGCCACTTTGTTCCTTTTTGCACGATAGTATCCACACTTCTGTCTCTAAGTTTAAATACCTGAAATTGAAGCATTTAGATCAGTTATTGAGACAAAATATGCATTTGACAACACTAATTCAATTAAAAAAACAAGGCCTAAATGAGTCCAAATCGTGGTCTCATCATAGAACCATTTACAAGCAATGACATTTTTAGATGGATCATGCAGCACCAATTACCACGTTTGATTTTTACACAGTGCATCAAACTCAACTTTCATAGCAGTCTGCCACTCTATGTTTTTGGTGGCATGATCGAAGGTGGTGGGAGTGAATGGAGGTGTTACTTGGGTCATGTAATAGAAAACATGCTTTGGTTTATGGATATTGTGTTGTGAACGGGTGACGACTCGATTTTGAGGCAGATGAAAAGGGGATGGGGTAGGCAAGGCTGGAGCAGATGTGTTCTGTTGTGCCAGTTGAGTGGAGCGACGAGAGTAAACAAATTGAATTAGAGGTTTCGGTGGTTGTTGATTGGATGTGGATGGTAGTTGAGTTGGCGACGGGGGTATAGAATGTGCTTGGGCATGAGGAAGATAAGATAGTGGAGGAGAAGAAGTAGGAGAACTACCTGAAATTGCAGACCCTGTTGGAGCGCAGCCGGAAGAGACAGCTTCATGCGTGTACTTGATGGTATCTACATTGGGTAAAATAATAGAGGGCAGTAAATATGTACAAGCTATTAGAGAAGATATAGGAGACCTAACCTGGGTAGGTTCAACTAGGTTTTCCCAGGCAAAAGTTGTAAACTATGAGGAAAGCTTTGAAAACATATTATGAAAAGGAAAAACACTTTCAAAAAATTTGACATCTCGAGACAAATACATTTTGTTAAATTTTAGATCAAAACATTGATGACAATGATAATTGGACGAAAACCCCAAATAAACTCAAGGCGTCGATCTCGACTGTACTTTATTCTTCGAGTATGGTTTGAGCCATGGATAACAGAACCACCCAAAAAATATTAATTGGGCGTAATCTGAATTTTTACCAAATAGCATATGCAAAGGTGATTGATTCTGAAAAAGTGAGGTAGGTAAGCGATTGATGAGGTAAACCGCCTGTTGACAGGCAAACGACCAAAGGGTTGGTGGGAGGGAAGCTTCATGGAGTAAAGTTCTTGTCGTTTCAACAATATGTCTATGTCGACATGCGGCAATAGCAACTCGTTGAGGGGTGTATGGAGGAGCTAAAATATGTTCAATACCTTGAGAGCATAGGTATGGATCAAGAGTTTTATATTCTCCACCACCATCAATATATAGAGAAAGAACTTTTGCATTGAAATGATGTTCCATTAAAACTTGAAAGTTTTGGAAAAGTTCTTTAACCTCAGTTTTTTATCAAGGTATAAAGCCAAATGAATTTGGTATGTTGGTCAACAAAAATACAGTAGGCTAATTTTTTGTCAATTGATAAAACTGGAGAAGGGCCCCACAAATCACTGAAAATGGTTTGAAATGGTTTGGTACTTGATAGTGTAAGTTGTTGAAAGGGATGCCGATGAGCTTTATTTGATGAACATGAATTACAAACTGAAATTTTTTCGCGTGAACAAGGAAGCGAGAATTTATTTAAAACAAATTTAAAACTCTTGCGTGCGGATGACCCAATTAACGATGCCAAGTGAGCCTGGAGTAAGAATTCGTGTAGGCAGCAATTGCTTTTGGTAAAGGCAAGGAAGGTGAAGTGGGCCACTTATACAGACCGTCTCTACTCTGACCTAGCACCAAAGGATTCCGTGTGTTCAGGTCCTTCACACAAAAATGAAAAGGAAAAAATTCAACAGAAGTGAGATTATCTTGACAAAACTTAGAAACTAAAAGTAAGTTGCACTTCATGGTAAGTGCACATAGAGCATCAGAAAGTTGGAAAGCCTTATTTGAGGCATGTAATTGAGTTGAACCAATGTCAGTTATTGAAATTTTGTTACCATACCCCATGGAGACATTCTCCATGTCATTGTATGCTTGCAAGTTGTGAGGGTTAGTAGTGATATGATGAGATGTGATAGAGTCAACAATCCAGGGATTTGTATATGCCTGTAATCCTGAAACATAGTTGGCCTTTGCCTCAAAATGATTGTGAGATTAGGATCGACAAACATTTGCAACATGATCATCGTTGTTGCACAATTGGCAGAGAAAACCATCATAAGAGTTGGTGGTGGGAGAAGATCGACACTGATTGGGTGTAGGTAAACGATTGTTGGACCACCATTATTTGTTGTTGTGAGTGCCCTTGTTGGAACGACGAGTGTGCCGAGAGTTGGGATGACTAGACTTGGTGGAAATAGCAGTTGCAGCAGTAATATGGTTGGGAGTTGTCTTGGACTCTTCATGGTAAATGAAAAACTCATGATCCAATAGCTTTTCATAGAGTTCTTCATAAGTAATAGTAGACTCACAAGCCCGGATTGCAAGCGGAAATCTCATGAAACTCTGGGCCCAAACCACTCAGGATATTAACAATAAGTTCAGAGTTGGTAACTAGGACACCAACAATAGAGAGTTCATCAGAAATAGATCGAATATTTTGCAAATATTCGGTGACTAGTTGGGAGTCTTTGGTCAATTGCATAAGTCGATCACGCAAACTGAAAATTCTAGTTTGGGACTTATTCGCATAGGTTGTGTATAATGCATCCCATGCAATTTTTGCCGAGTTAGAGGCTGCACCAGTTGTGACAATTGTGGGATCAACTGATGCCATAAGTGTGTTCTGAATAAGTTGGTCCTGGCAAAACCAAAAAGAAAATATAGGATTCACACTAGGGACTATACCAGTTGTGATTATGCGAGAGGGGGAGGGAGCAGACCCATCAAGATGGCCATATAGATCATGACCATCCATAAGCATCGAAAATTTTGCCTTACAAGTTGAATAGTTCTGGCTGCCATGTAATTTGATAGGCAATTGGGATGCCGGATTGAATTGAATGATTATCACTCTGATGTTTGTATGTGCGGTGACAACTCGAGAAGTGTCGCCCATTTGTGGAGGTTGGGAGAGGAAAGAAAATATAGGATCTTACTAGTTAGAGCTTATTGTGGCTCTTGATACCATAAAGAAACAAGATAAGCTGCAGAAGAACTTAATTGCTTATGGATGGAATGTTACAGCTTGATATACACGATTGAGTCTAACAATATCCTAAGCTAACTCCATAAAATGGGGATATAAAGATAATCCTAATTACCTGCTAAAGACTTAGTAAACAGTAAAGAAAAGCAGCAACAAAAAGAGTAAAACTACAGTAACTAAAGACTTATACTATAGTAAGTAGTAAACACTAATTAATGCACTAATAGCGGTTGTACATCCATTATCTTTAGTAAAATGTTCTTGTTATGATGCTCCAATTTGGTGAAATCGTTCGCAAACATTCATTCCTGTCAGGCACTTCTTCTTTCATATTTGAAAATAAGCATTTATTTCATCTATTGTTAAGCATCTATTTTTGAGCATAGAGAATGGAAATGATCTTCTCGGACCTGTGCCTATTGTTGAGCCTCTTCCTATTGCTGCTGAGTTGATGCTGGCTCCCATTGTTGCGGTGATGCCGATGGTGCCTGCTCATCTCGAGGCTTCCTATCACTTTGGCAGTTGTCTTTTCCCCAACCTCAGAGGTATTCAAAGGCATAACCTATACATCCACAATGAAGGAAGATACAAATGTGGAACTTGTGGTACAACATTCAAATAACTAGTTGATCGCAATGTCCACTAGGAGAATGTACACCGGCGTCATCCGTGAGCAGTTGAGTGGCTGAGTCAATTCTAGGCTCTTGGTAAGAATGGTTTTACGTTTGTTGCTGAATTTTGTATAAGGGTTTTACCCTCTATTTTTTTTTCTTTTCTGTTGTTTGTATGGATTTAATCTAAGGGGTTTTAGGTGGGTTTTACATCTTTTGATGGATTTAGTATAAGAGCTTACTGTTTTTTATGTTGAAGTTTGTATGGATTCTATAACAGTTTTAATAGCTCTTCTTCATTAACTTTATTATATCCATTCATAAAATTATCGACTACAACAATGAAAGTTATTATTATCACACGTTTCATAGTACAATTTCTTCTTGTCACATAAAAAAAACTACTCATATGAATTGTTGAATCTTCTTATCAAAAACACCTACTACTGAGATTCACATGTGTTGCATTCTATGGAGGTTTAAATTTTCTCAAGCTTTTCACTATCCTAAAGACAAAAATAATTGGTAGGCGTAACTTTTAATATTTTTAATTTCTTATATTGTAAATATACTCTTCTAGTTTTTGATTATATAGAATTGTTGGTATATTTAAAATTATTTTTGAGATGCAAATTTTTTTTTCTTATTAATGAAAAAAGTTAACTTTTTCTATAAATAGTACTCTATTCGTTTTAATTTTAATTTTTTGTTTGATTTTGACATGATACGAAATTTTTAAAAGTAAAGTTTAAATTAGATATATATACCAAAATATATTTTAATATTGTGGTCTTGAACATGTTACGTGGAAAGTTAAATTTAAAATTGATTAAATAGAAAGAAACATTCTTTAATATTTTTGAAATGAACTAACATAAAGTAAGACAAATAAATTGAAAGACATAGTATAGCTTTTTTTTTAAAAACTTATAATAATTTTATTATTACTGAAAAATCAGGTCCCTCAAATTTATCAGAAATTACATTTACATGTAGGTTTCAGTCATAAATATCATATGTAGTACATTTGCAATTTATCCTGTAATATGTATTTTTAATTTACGATATATACAGAACTTGATACATACACAAAAACAATATATGTGGCCACCTACAGAATAAAAAAAATATAAATTTAATCACTATTAAAAATTATAAATTGAATGAAATCGTTACCTTATTAAATATGTTGCATCATCATAGGATATTGTATGATTTAGATGTTGGAGGAGAAATTAAATCACACACAACGTACAATCAAAATAGGAATATAAAATAGAGTTAATTCGTCAAAAAATCAAAGAGTCGGAATAAGAGACCTTCTCTTTGTATTTCTATGTCCTCACCAAGGATTTTGTTCATTATATATAGTGTGTTGAAATTGTTAAATGAGGAACTACTGAAGTGAAAATGAAAAGCCGATAATTCTCTTCATATGTCTAACTTTTGTAGGTGGAATTAACAAGGAAGATAAAAGAGTTAACAATTTAACTCATAGAATAATCATAAAAGCCGAAAACCTTCTATGTCGGATGCCATATTCAAAGTACTTCTAATTTATCATTTTTATAGAAAATTAATTAATCATGCATTTTATAACCATAATAAAAAATTTAATAGGAGGTAATTTTTCAAATAATAATAATAATAAAGAGTAAAACAAATATTTCATTTTAATTTATTATTTAATTAATAGTTTAGGATTAAAATGCTACTCCTACCTTGGGGTTAGATCTTCCCAATTATAGTGATATATGTATGATATGATATGATATGATAATATATGATAAGATAAGATAAAAGATGTACTCTATGGTACAATTTGCCTCAACAAAACTGCCCCATTGCAGTTCACAATAAGCTTTATACCTGGTTGATTGTGAATCTCTCTGCTAGTGGATAATAGTTGGTGAGACAATTGGACATGCTTTAAATTCAGTGCCTAGTAATCTTATCTTGTTGGCAATATCAAGAAATATGTAAGAGTATTCCTTGACTGTTTCTTACTCTTTCATTCTCTGCAATTCGAATTCCCTATTAATTTTAATACCTTCATCCCTCGTATTCTTTCATCTCCAACATATTCTTTCTTCAGATAATTTCAAATTTCTTTTGGTGATGTGATGTCGCGACCCAGGAGTCCCCCCTAGATGTGACACGGCGTACAAGACTTCGACAAGCCTCTTAGCATATCATAACATAAGGTAATAGAAAATGTTGTGAAAAAATTTAAAACTTTATCCATACAATCGAAGTCTTTTATAAAAACAAGCGGAAGTCTACAACACTATGTCTCAAACCATCTATAACACTAGAATAATTCTTTGGGACACAGCCCAAACAAAATTCTAAAACATAAAGTAAGAGATAAAGGACATGGTGGTCAAGCCCTCGAATGCTATGAGGACTCACCAAACTTCTTCTTCTTGATCTACTATGATCCTAGTCACGAGGATGGAAGTCGATATCACTGAACCCTACATTTGATAAGAATGTAGGCAAAAGTATGTGTTAGTACAATGATGTACTAAATATGATGGGTAGCATAAATCATCAACATAAGACTATAAGAGGCATTAGTCAACATAAGACATACACCATAATCGTAAGAGACAATAACATAGGCCATAAGCATAAGAGACAACAATATAGTCATAGACATAGTCAATGCATATAAGTCAACATCATATAAGAGAGTCATTTCATAAGTCACCTAAAGGAAAGCTAATGCAATGCATGGATAAGATCCAATAATCCCATCCATACTAAGCAGGTCACTCTAGGTTCTCATTTATCGTTATTACCTTCTTGATCCCATGCTTAGCTTGTTTCTCATAGACAAGGGAACATTCACCTTTAGTCACACATGTAATGGAAAGCAACTTATAGCAATAATCCAATATAAGCATACATCATAACCACAGTCCACAAGTCATAAACATGTTCATTACATAAATCATCATAATCGTAAGAGAAACATATCATAACTACCCTCAAAGCATACTTGTGAAATGCATGAATAAGACCCCATAAATCTCACTCATGCTAAGTAAAGCTTCTTGAGTAAACGTAGTTAATACTAGACTTGACCTTGGGGGAATTAGCCTTAACCGACATAGACCATGTGAGCTTCCATGGAATCCGGTGTTACCCACACCGAAAAGGGTTGTCCTACTTGCGTAAGGTAGAACCATGGCGTGTTAGCTTTAGGTGGATCCAATAGCTAAATAACCTACGGGGGCACGTATATTATGGTCTAAGGAAATTATTACTAGAAACCTGCCCTTTCTGATGGGGGAGCTTCCATCTCAAGAGATTGCTTCAATGAATCCGCCCTTTCTGACGAGAGAGATTCCTTCTAGAAATCTGCCCTTTCTGACGGGGGAGTTTCCATCTCACATTAATATCCACTCTGTGCTAAGCATAATTCCCATTTAGTTCATATTAAGTCTTGACTTAAGTTCATGTTTATGGAAGAATGCCATGACACTCAATCCAACATAGTTCATGAGATAGCTCATAGATTCAATAGGTGAGAATAACCTTTCAACCTTTGAATCATAATATTGTGAGAAAATCTTTCACGTTATGTTCATTATGCGTTTATGAAAATAACCTTTCAATTAATACAATAATATTATCATAATCATGGACACTTCATTTATGGTCATGCATAAGTGTGTATGTGAGGATAACTTTTCAACAACACCACAATCACAACATAGTTATAATCACTTTACTCTCCAAATGTTCTTAAAGCATATACATAACTTTCATAAAACATGCATAATATCACATTTTGCCCTTTTAAGGTCAAATCTCATATCGAATCAACACATCTAGAATAACTACTTTAGACATGGATATAATCATCATTCAAGTAGATTAATTACTACAAGCATAATCTCCTACTTTACCTCCTTGGGGATCAAAACTTACTTTCAATCATCACAACTAGGGTTCAAGCACTAGACATCGATAGCATCCTAACTCATGTGATTCTAACAAATTATGTATTCAAACATTCATGAGGTATATTAGGTGGGTAAAGTCCTTCCACAACAATTCTATTTTGAAGTCTACCATTTTCATATAAGTTTCACTATCAAAGCCTTAACATTAGTAATTCAACATATTAGCTTTTACCCTCAAGGTCCTAGAATTGACATTGATACTACAAGCCTTACTCTCAAGCAATACTTCACATGATCATCATATGTGCCTAATTCCCACGACAATTTAACCACATACTTCATTCTTAAGCAATTCTAGTCATATATCATCATACATACTTGATCT